GTCTTTTCTGAAACAATTGTATATTATAAGGAAACTATTTAGACTGGCTAGATGAAACATTGATCCATTACAATAACAGTTCATATTTAAATTAGTCATGAAATGATTTTCTCAACTCATACAAAAATAGCAATCAAATTCTGCAAAAATGAAAACAGTCTGCATGAACTAAATTGATCAACGAAGTCATGTACATGATAATTTTGATTATAATCAAGTGCAAATTAAATATATGCGAGAAATATGATTCCCTCCACAAGCGACTTTGTTAATTTTAGTGTGTTGTTCGTAACTAGTAATTATATAATCTTTCACATTATACATTATTTAAGACTAGTTAGAGAAATTATTATTTGTATCCATCATTTCCTTAAAGAAAACTTACAAAAATCTAATTTCGCCCCAATTGTCCTACCTATTGGTCTACTCATGCAGGTACGGACCTTACTAATCAAGTTGGGGTAGGGCATTTCTACCACATTTTCTATGAGGGTTGCTTGACAAACTTTGACATCAATGAAAATGAGGAAGAAGCTTCTCTACTCTACCCAGATGTTCAGTACACCAGGATGGATGAGTACATGAAACGCTATTTGTAACAAAAAACATTATGAACCTGAACTATCTTCATGTAAGCTCAACAACAACAACACATGTTAAAGAATAAAGAGCATCTATGGTTGGAGAAAGATTTACTAATACATTACTCAACTTGGGCATAGTTATTCAAGTTATAATCAAGTCAAATTATGTGTTATGTACCGTCTGTAGGTTCCATGGAGATGTTCTAGATTAAAAAAGAGTTCGATGTAAATTGAAATGAAGACTCCATTAGTTTGAAATAATTGGGATTATATTTCTTGTAACTTTGAACTTATAAAATATTTCTTATTGGTTTTGGATTTGATGTAATAGACTTCTAAATTATTTGGATTGTACGCCGATGAAAATTAGCTTTCAAGATACATGTCGTATAATGTGCGTGGGTGCCTCATGCATTACCTCGGCCGCGGCGGTGGCAACCCATTGTTAGGGAGCACCGTGACAGCGGCCGACGCGCGGCGTCGGACGTCACGCCCGACTAGGTCCTCATAGACCCCGACCTACCGTGGGCCTGGACTAAGGACTGGTCGAGGACCACCGTGGAGACGTTCGAGTGGTGTCGCCTCACTGACCATCTCGTCAAGATCGTGGTGGATGAGTATCTGCGTCGCCGCCCTCGTTGTTAGCAAGGGCAAGGGGAGAATATCTGGTACTCCCACCTCTTGGATGCTCCCGGTGCTCCAAACTCGGTAGCATATTTTTAAATGGTCGAAAAATTCTGAAAAAGATCTAGCACATTGACACGACATCAATGTATGTTGTCAAAAAAATTCAAATCAAAATTCAAAACATTGCTCGAGATACAAAAATGACAAAATCGGCATCAATGTGATAATGGGCCAAATCTAAAGCCCAACTTATGTTGTGTACTGTTTACGGTCGAATTTCTCATTATGTTTCTCAAGCTATGTTTCGAATTTTTGATTTCAAATTTTGTGACAACATACATTCGTGTTGTGTCTATGTGCTGGATTTTTTTTCAGAATTGTTTGAACATTTAAAAATGAGCTACCGAGTTTGGAGCACCGGGAGCACCCTAGGGGTGGGAGTACTAGATATTCTCCCCAAGGGCAAGGCCTAGGTCGGCATCCGCGGCCGATGGGCCCTGTGCCAGGTGGCGGAGGAAGCCGATCGACTACACCACGAGAGCTCGGCGGCGGTCAATCAGGGTTGTTGTGGTCCCTATGCGCCCTAATATCGCTGGTGGAAAGACCGCGGCGACGATGGAGGAGTGCTGGCCATGGAGGCCACGCGTATGACGGAGCAGACGACTCCGGAGGAGCCGCTGACCAGGGAGGCCACGTGTACGAAGTCACCATCTGGTATCTCATGTAGTTCCGTTTGGTTTTTTGAAAATTTTAGTTGAACTTGTCAAATATCGTCCTGTTTGAATGTGATATATCAAACTTGCTTCAAGTTCCTCCGGTTTGCATGAAGTTCATTTGAAATATGGGCATACGTTTCAGTGGCGGAGCTAGCACAGGATCATTGGGGGGGCCAATGGCAAAATATGGGTTTATGAAGAGGCAAAACTCCCTATTTTTCCCAATCTATGCCATCACAAAAAAAATTCTTCAAAGAAGATCCCAAGCTTGGGGGGGCCACAGCCCCCCCAGCCATACACATACCTCCGCCAGTGATACGTTTGGTCCATTCTGTGGCCGGCTCCCGTATCTGTGTCTGCAGACGTTTAGTGTGTGCGATTTAGGGCACGCTGTTGGAGATGCCTTATGTTACCTTTTGAGATTTTCAACGGTAAGTTTAAGTCCAGTACAATCGCGGATGGAACTTTGTAACATGCGTGAACTGTATCAGCTGAGCTCACAAGTTTGCAAGCCATAAATCACATGTGCTCATAATAAAAGTAGGTAGGAGTACATCAAATACACGACAGCTCATCAATGCGGCCTCAAAATCAACCACCATGATAGAGCTGCCGGCCGGGTCACTGATAGAGTGATGCGCAATATCAGCTAGGGCCGTACACGTAACGTAACCAACCTACCACCAGGTTGACAGCGATTTCACTGACCGATCTCCATATCTTGTGAAGGTCCCAACCAGGTCGACACACCACACCAGGCAGTCGGCAAGCAGCGATTTGCATCTAGAGGCATGGAGAAGAGCAGGGTGCTTGTCGTTGGAGGCACTGGCTACATCGGCAGGAGGATCGTGAAGGCGAGCTTAGCTCAGGTCCACGAGACCTATGTGCTGATGAGGCCGGAGATCGGCCTCGACATCGACAAGCTCCAGATGCTGCTGTCGTTCAAGGCGCAGGGAGCGCGGCTCCTGGAGGCGTCGCTCGACGACCACCGGGGCCTCGTCGCCGCCGTGAAGCAGGTGGACGTGGTGGTGTCGGCCATGTCCGGTGTTCACTTCCGTAGCCACAACCTCCACCTGCAGCTCAAGCTCGTGGAGGCCATCAAGGAAGCCGGAAATGTCAAGGTAGGCTAACTCGCTCAGCCGAATTAATATGTGAATATATATATATATGCAAATATTCTCTCCGTTCTTAAATATAAGTCTTTTTATAGATTTCAATATGAATTATATACGGAGCAAAATGAGTGAATCTACACTCTAGAATATGTCTATATACATCCGTATGTAGTCCATACTAAAATCTTTAAAAATGACTTATATTTGAGAACGAAGGGAGTATAAGTTAGTGTGAACTTTTTCTCGCAAAAAAAAGTTTGTATGCACCATTTTTTGGGAGGAAAGTATGAAGTTTATTACTTTTAGTTAGTTGATGACGACCTTCAACCGTTGTCTCTTTCTAACAAAACAATTCGGTTCAACTGGAAAATTACATTTCTATATACACGGCAAGTTTCTCGCAGCTTTTTGTGCAACACAAACTCTCACCATGTGCATTTGATCGACCTGTAGAAAATTATAAGTAGCAATTTCAAAATTCCTTTTTTATTACATGCATAAGAATCTATGTTTGATACTCGCTAAAGCTGGGTTTTTTGTGTGCATTTTTGGAGGATTCCGTCTGCTATGCATCTGCTCCAATACTCTCCAGTTTTTTCGTACATACATAGAAAGAAAATGCACAAAGTATGTTTTGATCTGTCTTGACCAAATAACGAGCACCAACCTCCAGTAAAATGAAAGCCTTTGCTTGGCTACTTTCTGGTAAAATATCATCTTCTCTGTTATTGGTCATAACTGTTGAATTGACGTGAGACAGGGAAGTTGCACACAGCAACAGCAGCGCTAGATCTCACTGTTCCCTTTTTCGCTGGTGCATTATTGGACCTTCATTTCTAAAACAAAAAGAGATATAAGAATTAGGTTCCCTTCTGCTATGCCATTTCATATATAGCATTAATTATACTTAGTACCATGATTTTGTATCTCATAAACCGCATACAAATATAGTTATTTGTCAAGATCTTTTATTAACCAGCCAAAATATGTCTTATGTATCCCAGCGGAGGGGTATTATTTAAACTCTGTTCGAGACTATACCATGTGGAAACACATCAAAACTTGAAGGCTTGGAGGATATGAAGCAGTGGCCAACAGAGAGGGGAAAGCCGTACTGTAATAGTGTTGAACAATAGCCTCTCAGTCAACCTAGGAATCTCTCGTTCTAAGGTGTATTTTTTCAAGTTCAACTTTCTATATTTAACCAAGTTTCAGAGAAAAAAGTTCCATACCAACATTGCCAAAGTAGTCCATTAGATCCACCACGGAATGTATTCCATAGTGTATTCATTTGGCATTCTAGATACCGAAAAAAAATCCCCATAAACTTGGTCCAATATAAAGATGTCTAACTGTTCAAAAAAGTAGTGTGCCTTATATTTTGGAAAGAATGAAGTAGATAATACTCCCATCGTTCCATATTATTTTTAGCTCAAACGGATGCATGAAGCACTAAAGCACATCTAGATACATCCATTTTAACGACAACTAATATGGGACGGAGGGAGTTGTACTCCAAGTTTGGACGTGTTACCTTTTGCAGAAATTGTTCAACTCATATGATTAACAGCTCATGTTAGTTAGGATGTCTCTTTTTCCAAAAAATAGTCGACAACAAAATATGCACATGTATTTTCTTTGCAGGGATATGCACAAGTACTTTAGTTAGCAGCATTGAATAGCTTCACCACCACATGAAATCTTCACTTTTCTGTTGTTTGTTTTCACTGGTTATCTTTCCTCCCCCCCCCCCTTTTTTCCTCCAATCTTCCCAATAAATTTCCGTTGAGTGGTCCTTTGGTTTCTATTTTTCTTTTTCCTTCCTTTATTTAATTTAATTCCATCTGGTTTTCTCTAGGTTTATTTTTTACCTTCTGATTTTTTTTCATTTTTCATAATTTTTCAACTTATTTCTTTTTTCCTTTTCATTTCCTTTTCCATTTTAGAATCTGTGAATATTTCTCAGGATACAACAACATTATTAAGAATTCTTGAATAATTTTTAAATACAAGAAAATTTATGAAAATAAACGGACTTTTTATAAGTAGTAAAGTTTCTAATTTCAAGAACATCATTAAAATACACAAAAACAGAAAACAAGATAACATTTATAATACCAATGATATTTTTTATAATTTGTGTTTTCTAAAAAAATTGTGAACATTTCACTTAAAATTCTGTTATATTTTCATAACATACGTGGACAATTTTTAGAATCTTGTAACTACGCGTTCTTAAAATATGTAACTAAATTGTGCATCCTCCTTCTTAGAGAAAACGGGGAAAAGAGACATATAATTGCTCCAGTGTCGGAGTGTTGAAGTGCCTAGTCCCTCGCTACTATACGCATTCCCTCCAGTACAATGTGCCGGAGGAGCTCCTTTGTGACACTTTGTGCATCCCAATGTCGCCCAGAAGCACAAAGAATCCCTACCTTCGTTGTGACACTCTGTCCATCAAAATGTCGCCTAGAAGCACAGAGCATCCCTACAATTTTGAAATTTCTGAACATTTATAGGGAAAACCAATTTTTCAAATCCGAACATTCATTTAATTTTTGAAACAGAGTTGAAAATGTGAAGATTTCTGAAATCTGTTTTTTTAAATTCGATCATAATATTTTAATTACGAAAATTGAAGCATTTTTAAATTTAAGAACAATTGTTCACAACATGAACTGTTCTGAAATACTGAACATAACTTGAAAACACAATCATTATTTGAATTTCCAAAGATTTTTGAAAAAGAGAACGTTTAAAAAAATGATGAACAAACATTTTTAGAAATTATCAACTATTCTTGGGAATGGGAAATTTTTGAATTTGTGATTTAAGAAAACGAACTTTTTCCGAAATTTCCAATCATTAGGAAAAACTATTTGAAAAAGCAAAAAAAAATTCACAAAAAAGGAACATGAAAAAATAAAAATAAAGCCTGTTAAATGAAACAGTAGATAATAAAAAAATAAAAAATAAAAAATGGACCTAAACCTGTAAAGAAGCTAAGAATGTTCCAAAATGGTCCATTTAGGGTGCTCGCTCGCTCTAGCCTATGCATTTCAGTGCCATTTCATCAAAAAGCGCATAATATATGCCACGGAGGAGGAGAGCTCCTTTTCGGCGCCCTAAGCGTCGCTTAGGCTAGTCGGCGCTCAAAGGTGAGCGTTAGTTGGCCAGCCCAGCTTGCTCGCAACCAGTGCATGCTCAAAAAGAAACAAACAGGAAGAAGAAAAAAACTTCCCCATGTTATTCTGCATGATGTACGATTCAAACCTGCATTCCAGCGTCCACCAACTTGGCTAAATAACCATTGGCGTGTTATATCCAAAAAACAGCACCATTGGCCCATGGCTCAGTCCCAGTAAAAGATTATTTGTAAAAAGAAAACAAAAATTTGAAGAAGAATTCACGAATTTTAGAAAAGTCCATCAATTTTTAAAAAATCATGGATCTCAAATTTTTTTACAAAATAAGGAAAACATTTAAAACAATCATTAATTTGAAAAAAGTTCACCGAATTTTCAAAAAAATACTGATTTGCAAACAGTTTGGTTCATCGATTTTGATAAAAAAAAGTTCATCAGATTTTTTCTAAAAACACAGATTTGAAAAAGGTTCTTCGATTTTGATAAAATAAATTCACGAATTTGAAAACTTTTCAGATTTCCAAAAAGTTCACAAATTTTAAAAAATTATGAATTTGGAAAAGTTCATCAGTTTTGAAAAACAAATCACGATCTCGAAAAAAGAACATTGCAACCGTGACATGGGCCACCCAGTATTCGCCTCCGGTTGTTCCCTCGCTCCCCTGTCTCTGGTTAGCTTTTTTCGCTTGTCTTTCCGTGATGTTGATGACCTCAATAATTGTTGACAGGTTTTCTGAAAAATACAAATTTAAAAATATACTGGTCAACTCAGGAAAATGTTTTCAATTTATTTTAACGAATTTATATTTTTTTAATATTTAAAAAGAAATCATCGTAAGTTATTGTAAAGTTAATGGGATGGAAAGAAATCACCAATTTTAATAAATGATTGAATTTTATAAAAATAGCACAAATATGAAAATATGTTCCACAAATTTTTTAAATGTTCATGTATTAAAAAAATTATGTCTAATTAAACTAGGTAAAAGGAGAAAATGAAGGAAAACATGAGAAAATCTGCATAAGCACAAAGAAAATGAAAAAAAAAATCACCCAGACTAGATTCTACGTTTTGGAAGCTTACCAACAACGGGAGGAAGCTTCCCGCTCAGCTTATCTGGGCCTATCCTTGAGCGGGATGCTAGAGCCGGGTGTGTGAAACTTATCGCCCTATTTTGCCCCTAGGAAATCCCGACTCACCAACCCTCATTGCCTTCAAAAGTTTCACAATTTTTTTAAAATGCTTGCGATTTGACAAATGTTCATGAATTTGAAAAATATTTAAAAAAAATTAGAAAAATTTCATGAATTTAAAAATATTTGCTAATATAAAATATGTTCACGAATTTAAAAATCATGGTCTTGAAAAATGTTAATGGACTTCAAAATGTTCAAAAAATTTAGAAATATTCACCAATATTAAAAGTGTCCATGATTTTTCTTAAATATGGATTTTCAAAATTGAAGAAATAATTGGAATAAAACTAAAAGGAAAAACCGAAGAAAATATCAGTTAAACCTATGGAGGACAGGAAGGAAATCAAATCAGAAAGACGACCCAAAAGCCTTCAAAAACCTTCCATTTGCCGTGAACTCAAGGAGCGTACACATACGGGCCCATTACTGAGAACAACTCTCGGGAGGGTGTGCTTTCTGTACCATTTAGTCTCCGGAAGGTTTCCTGAAGTTCAAGTTCAATGTTGATGCGGGATTTGTCAAGGTCTTGGCTAGAGGTGCCGAGGCGGTTGTGTGCGGGGCATATTAGCATAATGTAAATGCTTATAATTTAGTTTGTGGCGCTTTGTCGTTGTATAGTGGTCAGCCATGGGATACCGCCATGGGGCCCATGAATATTAATGAATGAAGACCACTATTTTCCCCTATAAAAGGCAAGGCTGGAAATAGGAGATGCGAACAAACTATTAGCACTTAAAAAAATTCATCGAGTCGAGTGAGCTTGGCTAGGGAACTGATGCAGGTAACAAAACAAGCCCTTCTTGAAACTCCCTATTTTAGCAGTGCCCAAGCAACAAGCCATAACACCTTAAGACCGCCTAATCGGCGTGACATTGTTTTTTTTGCTAAAAACCCACGTTTTGTGTATGTGTGTGTGTGTGCGTGCGTGTGCGTGTGCGTGTGCGTGTGTGTGTGTGTGGCGATCCTTCTTAATTTTTTTTAAATTGATAGAGGCATCATTAACTATGACCTCACATCCATTCATAATGAACATACAATTTTGCATGCAGCGTTTCCTACCATCTGAATTCGGCATGGACCCAGCAAGGATGGGGCATGCCCTTGAACCAGGAAGGATCACCTTTGATGAGAAGATGGAGATAAGAAGGGCGATAGAAGAAGGAAACATTCCCCACACCTACATTTCTGCTAATTGCTTTGCTGCTTACTTTGTTCCTAACCTATGCCAAATGCGTACCCTTCTTCCACCCAAGGAGAAGGTTCACGTCTATGGAGATGGCAACGTCAAAGGTACCATCAACAAATATTACTTGTACTATTTAATTTCTCCTAGTTTTTAAGACTCCTACTTTTGAGTGTATTTGACTCCCTTCGGATTTCCACTTTTGATTGTGTATTGTTATATCATACTATGCAGCGATATTCGTGGACGAAGATGACATTGCAGCATACACAATCAAGTGCGTTGATGATCCACGGGCCTTGAACAAGACAATATACCTACGGCCACAGGAAAACATCCTTAGTCAAAATGAGTTGATTGCTAAATGGGAAAAGCTCTCAGGAAAGGTTCTTAAGAAAATTCCCATTCCGATTGATGAATTCTTGGCATCAATGAAAGGTAAGAAAAAATCATTTACTTGTTGAGTATACAGTATTTGAAATCTCAGCTTATTAGTACAAAAATGGTGAAAGGGCGACGTGGAATTTCTTGGAAAATATTACCATTTTTTCATGCCATCTCGTTACAAGGGCAATGGATTAATTGTGTGAAAATATATTTTCATTGTATATAACCGTTTTTGCTTCTGGGGAGTATCTTAGGACATGTGTACAACAGAATTATGTCCGTCTTCTCCCATAAATTTGGGAGAGAGAGAAGCATGACTTCATCTAGCCAAGGAATTATCACTTCACTAAGATAATCGCCTTAACTATTCTTTTCTTTTACACAAAGTAGGCATACCTTGTTCACATGATCTCTAATAGTTTCTATTTTTGACACATGAAATCATTTAAGAATAACTAATGATTTCTAATAGTTTTATTTTTGACAACATTAAAGAATAACTAATTAACTTAGATTTATTATTTATTCTGATTATCATTTATGAGGATGCGCAAGTCATCCTCGCCATTCTAGACGACTCTCTTATGGAAGTGGAAATATAGAATTAAGTGCATGATTTTCTCCACGAGAAATAGTAAACATTATCATATTTTTATTATTATTAAATACTTCTATTTGGAAGCAATTATTTGGTATGAAAACTATTTATATTGCAAAATGAATTTTCTAATTATACTTAGATTGGTCACGAACAGACTTTTAAATTCATATAGAACATAGCGATCAAAGATCTTTAAAACTAAAATACCATAGCCATGCATTAGATAATATATGAAGTCATGTACATGATCATAAATTATAATTAAATACAGATTAGATAAATGTGAGAAATATGATTCCTCCACCATAAGAATTCTTTTTTTTTTGGGCATCAGTACAGACACAAGCGCTCATATACACGCGCATACACTCACCCCTATGAACGCACACACGCACACCCTACCTCTATGAGCACCTCCGAGAGACTGAGCCATCATATCATCTTGAGATTTACGAAGCCACCTACCTCCTCCCACTGAAAGCGCATGACCGGAAATCCTGAAAAAAATCCAGAAATAATGCGAGCACCAGGATTTGAACCCTGGTGGGTTGGGGATGCCACTGTCCACCTAACCATCTCAACCACAGGTTGGTTCTCCCATAAGAATTCTTTTGTTGTTGTGTTGTGCGTATCCATAGCGTTTACTTATGTTATTTAAGACCTCTTTTTAGAACCTTGCAAAATCTAGTTTCACCCCCAATTGACATACCTATTACATATTCTACTCGCATGCAGGTACAGACCTTGCTAATCAGGTGGGGATAGGGCATTACTATCACATTTTTTATGAGGGTTGCTTGACAAACTTTGACATCAGAGATGATGGGGAAGAAGAGGCTTCTCTACTCTACCCAGAGGTTCAGTACACCAGGATGGACGAGTACATGCAACGCTATTTATAACTACAAACTTGATGAACCTGAACTCTATTTTCTCAACGACACCAGCACACAGTATGCACCACCTATGTTTGAAGAAAGTTCCATTGATATGTTACTCAACATGGGCATAGTTATTGACATTGTAATCAAGTTAATGATGTGTTATGTACCATCTGTAAGTTCCGTGGAGACAGGGCCGTCTCCAGGAAATAGGGGCCCCGGTGCGAAACGCAAAATGAGGCCCCAAATTTTGAAATTTGCATATGCTAACAAACTAACATAAATAAATCATACTCTCTAATTTCATGTAAAATTTATTCATGTATATAATACCAGTGCTAAAAATCTAAAAGTATGGGTCGCAAAATCCAGGTGTGCTCGAGATAGGAGTTTTAAGTGAAATCAACTAATTGAAAAAGAAAATATAAATTTGGTACCCCGTGGTATTTCATCAAACTAAGCACTTCAAAAGGCACAAAACTCACTCACCTCACCCTGCCATCATGAGTTGAGCTGCTGTGTACTCCATTGTGCCTCCTAACCCGCAGCCTGAAGAGAGAAATCAAAGCTCACTCAACACGCGCCCTGCCATCCTATCTGGACAGAAGGAGATACATAATTTGAGGAAAAATATTCTCTATGGAAAATTGATGCAGGAGTGGGGAATAAAAGGAGGGCGGACTAGCTAAATGCCAAAGCATCGGATGAAGCGCAATAGAAAAAGATATTGAAGGTGAAAACGGCTACTATTGCTAACTCGCTATTATTATTGGTGAAACAATTGCCTGAAACCCAAATCATAGATGTAAAATAGAAGATAATTTAGGATAAGGAATCATGAGAAGAAGCTTCAGAGCTTACGTACGGAGAAGTGAGGAAACTGGGGGATCACAAAGCCATGCCGCCATGGCCAGGATCGATCTGCCTTCAACGTTGGTCCACTGCCATCCGCCATTCCCGTGGGGAGGAGGGGAGTCCGGACGTGAGTCACTCTTGGGGGAGGAGAGGAGGTGGCGCACAATCGAGACAGAGGTGGAAGTTCGAGGGAAGGCGGCGGGTTACCGATTTCTCGGGGCGCAGGACCTACGACGACTCGTATCAAATCAGCCTGATTTTTCGCATCAGATCAGGCTGATGAACCGGGGTGGTTTCAACTATTTTTTTTTAGAGGCTGATGTTGGTATTCCCCGATCGGGGGCCCCATGATTTCGGGGGCCCTGTGCGATCGCACCGTTCGCATAGCCTTGTCGACGGGCCTGCGTGGAGATTCCCTAGAAAAATGGTGTTCCACGGAAATGGAAATGAAGACTCCATCAGTTTGCAATAGTGTGGATTCTATTTTCTTTAGCTTTGAACTTATAAAAATTTAATATTTCTTTGAATTAGCTGTAAGGAACTTTCAGTTTATTATTTGGATTGTATGTATATGAAAACTAGTTGTAGCATACATGCCGTAAAATGTTCTATCCTTGAATATTTCAACCACTAATCATGTATAGTCTCGAACTTACGAATGCTAGCCAATACTTACATGATACACGCAAAATGAAATAACCGCGTAGATTTAGGGTTACCAAGAGCCAAGTAAGGAATTTCACGCTATACTCAAGGAGCTTAGTCCAGGTCAACAAGAGGACATTGGGTATGAGGTAAAAGCTTGGATGTTAAGGTCATTGGATAGGTATGATGATGCTGCACTCGCTCAAGTTATTTTTTTTTCATATAAAATCTTTAGCCAAGGAGCAAGTACAGAGAAGGATGTTGAAGATAAATCCACAAGGCTAGAATGAGATAGGGAGAAAGCTTCAGTTGAAGGAAGATAAATATTTAGTGAAAAGCCATGGAAGCAAGCATTGTGGATGATATTTAGTAAGGTTGCACCCAAGCTTCTAGTTGTCAATGTGTTGTTGCTAGAATAATTGAATGTTTAGTTGTTTAATATCTTGGGCGAGTTGTTGATTAATGGTTTCTGAAGGTTTCTAAGAAAGGGAGGGTTGGCTCTCACGATGCAGGTATGTCGTCCGCATCTTTGTGTATGGACTAAGAATCAAAAATCTCCTATACTCCTTCCAGTTCGGTTATCAGTCGGGCATGGGTTTAAAGTCTTCAATTTGGCAAATAAAACATACTATGTGATATGCCACAAAAATATATGGTTGGAAACTCATTTGACGACTAACTCTGATATAATTGTTTTGTTTGAGAGAAAATCCGATATAGTTGTTGGAAGTGAGTACTCCCTCCATTACTTTATGTGTAAGGTGTATTATTTTCATCATGGTGACCAATGCACATAAATATAAACAATTTAGGACGAAATTACCCTTGTATAATTTGTGAATTAGCAGCAAATAAATCATTTTGGCTAGGAACGAAAGAGATACACACAATCGGGAGAGACAGTTTCCTCTTTGGACAGATACATGCAATAGGGGGTAGATACTTTCCTTTTTCCGGAAGACCAAGATCCAAATTATGAGGAATCGGAACAAATGCACCATACATTGTGGATTTTATAAAAAAAAATACACCTTACATAAAGAAACGGAGGGAGTACTTGTTAACTTAGCAAACTGATGCGGACTACACATGTCGGTGTTGATTGTACCAGCGAAGTCGGCAAGAGAGAGACGCAATTTTGTTACACGACATGATTTCTAAATTCCTCCAAATAAAAAATGATTTCTGAATTTTGATCGATCTAAACAATCATCTACATCAGTGTCAAGTCAACGGCATGCTGACCACATATGAAGCCTATGTCTTGGGTATGATGATGGTTCACTGTGGTTTCCTGGTCAGGTGTCAGCTTCCAATACACAGAGCACCAGACCAAACCATATCCATTCTGCCCATACGCTTGCGATATATTGAAACTGCCTCGACAGAGACACGACATCCAAGATGACATGCAAGAGGAGCCCACGGTGTCATTTACCGGACTGATAGACACCACTTGAGCCAAAAGAAGGGTAGCCATGGCCCAGGGTAAACGCTGCCTGCATGCTCATCGGGGTGTAAGAGGTATTTAATCGAACGAGCTAAGAAACAACTGGTCGTGATGGTCCACAACGAAAGTAATCTACAGGCCAAGCGACTATTCAGCAGTGGAACCGACTGTTCAAACTTCAAACTGAACCATATTTTAATTTCCATGCAAATTTTTTGTACTGCATCCCTATTGGCTTCCTATGGCCTTGGTGCAAGTTGGCAGAGAGACGTCTCTTGTCTGGGGGTGGCAGGTAATTAAGATGATGCTCAGCCTGATAAGATTCCCGCGCCTGGAGCTCCATTCGCCAGTTCAGTCAACCGCCGATTACAAAAGAAGCACGCGGGAAAGCACCCCTGCATCGGCTCCAGTGATGCATGATCATGAAACCTTTTATATTTGTACTTCTTCCTCGAGGGCACCAAATAATTGTGTACTTATCAGTAGACAATGCAATAGCAAATGATGAGCGAGTGATGCTTATGCTAGGAAGCCACAGTTGAGCAAATGGCGGCTTGATATACATATTGCAAAGAGTAGTATATCTTGTTAAAGCATTCTGAATCCTATCCGAATAGGATTAAAATTTATTTCTAAAACAATCAAATTTCATTAATATTTTTCGCTGTGAAATATGTAATTAGTTGTTTATTTTATACAATTTTGATATTTAGAATTCTAGCACCCACACATCACAATGATACATAGAGGGTGTTTGTTTTCAGGGACTTATTGGCTTAGGGACTTAAAAGAGTCCCTATAAGTCCCATCTAAACCAAACAGGAGGGACTTATAGGGACTTAAAGTGGTCGTTTGGGACTTATGAAATAAGACTCTCAAGGAGAGACTTATAGGGACTTATAGTTGTAATATGGTCTTATAGGGACTTATAAGTCCCAGGAACCAAACATGTAGGGACTTTTTAGGAACTTGGGACTTATAAGTTGGGACTAAAAAAAATCCTAGGACTTATGAACCAAATAGGGCCATAGGCTGGACATTTCAAACTCCTTTTCGGGACGGGTCCATGCAACATGGCTACCATGCCACGCATCCGGTCCCCACGGGGGCGCCAGATCCGTTGTGGCCAGCCAAGGCAACACCTTGCTCTACCCTGCCGTGGTAGGAGGGAAACACCACCATCACCATGCCTCGACATCCAGTCACCAACAACGTCATCGATGTGGAGTAACGCCGCCACATCCAGATCAGCAGCGCGCCCCCCTCATGAGGAGAGAAACCCTGTCGCCGCCGTCCACTGAGCAAGTGTTGCCTGTCGGCTTATTTCAGCAGTGGCAAGGAGAGCATAGAGAAAGGAGGAGGTCGGGTCGACGACAGCTAGGGTTCACCAGTGCCGCCACGAGTTCACGTAAACATGAAATCATCGTACATGTAATGGTTACGAGTATAAATTTACAAACATTCTCAAAAAACAGAAAAAACATGACCAAAAAATAAGTAAAAAACATGAAAATAGAAAAGAAAACCGGTAAAACCGAATATAAAAATGAACAAAAAACCTTCTGAAACCTTACCAAAACTGGGCAGAAGGTTCTAGAAGGTTCCTAAGACCGACGTCGGCCTCTCGCTTCCGCCCACTAATGGGTCGGCATGATAACAACGTGTACTGAGCGATCCACCTAGTATTATTCGGAATGGGCAACCTATAGCATTTTTGTTTAAATTTACGGGTGGTCAGCCCCAAGCATAACCTAGTAACCACATTGTTTATATTTTTTTCCAAAAATATTTAAGTATTAATAGATTTATGAAATGTTATGAAAACCAGTTTAAAATGCATATATTCTGGAAACTAGAAAAAAATCATCTTCCTCAATATAAATGTTAATATATTTAAAATAAATCTTCATCTCATGCTTCAGAAAGGTATTGTATTAAAAAATATTCATGTATTCGAAAAAACGTCCACCTATTCTACAAAAGAGCCGTGTATTAAAAAATTGTTCATGTAAGTCTAGATATATCTTCATATACTTTGAAGAAAAAGTTTAACTATTTTCCCCCAAAATAATGTAACACAAAAATAAATACTGAAGAACAAAACAGAAATAAAACTAATGCACTTTTTGAAGTTTCTATGCATGTGTTTTAAAATTAATGCTCCTTTTGAAGTTTCTATGCACGTGTTTTAAAATCAATGCTCCTTTCATTCAAAGGATTATCATACCATTTTTAGAGAATTAGAATCTTTATATATTTCTCCTACATTGGTAATTCGATTCATAGGAATGAACCTATACAAATTCTTTCATTTGTACTACATTCTAGCATCCATTCCAACTTATTGGAAACAATCATTGTTTTCCACGTGACGCAATCAAACAAACCCAAATAATGTAGAATTTAAACGAGCATGATATTCCTTCCCGTGTTTTTATTGTCCATGCATTTTTACAATCATGCGAATCAAAGAGGCCCTAACATGTCACAGGGGTGGAGTTGCATGTTTTATGTCTGTCATGAAGATCATTATCCACTGCATTCGAACATGTACTAAATACTACTCCCTCCATCTCAAAAGAAGTTATGTAAATTTTGCATGAAGCCAATTGGTGGGTAGTTTGGCCATGTTTGTAGGGAAAACCATCACAATTACTACAACACTAATAAAGGTATAACATGACAAATATATTTTATCGTGTATCTAATGATATTTATCTGGTGTGAGAGCTTTTGATAGTTTTATCTACAAATTTGATCAAAGTTGCACTATTTGCCTTCCCACAAAAATTTTACGCCATGCTGAGAGTAGTAAAGTAGATTTTCATGTTAGAAATGAATTAAATGGAACACAAAATAATACATTTATTACCCATACTTAATGCTGAGAGTACTTGCGAAACTAATGAACTTACAACGATCTAGTCTAAGAAGGGAAACAAAAGAAGCTTCCAAAACGAGAAAGATGCATGAACAAATTACATGATGGATTTCCCCGGTTACGGGACGCCACTACCGTCAGCTGTCCCAGGCCTGTCCGTGACGCCGGCGTGCAGGAGCAACGCCCAGACGAGCGTGACGAACTCCCCGCCGCGCCCCATGGCCTCGACATGGCCCTTGACGTTCTTCGACGGCGCCACGAAGAGCACCATCTCCGACCAGAAATCCGCCAGGAACCGCCATGCCGCTGCCTCGTCCTCCGGGTACGCCTCCACCAAGCGGCTCCCAAGCTCGGCGCCGCGCTGCAGCACCTCGTCCCTGGTGGTCGCGCTCAGCTCCTTGCGTAGCCGCTCGTACCTCTGCGTCGTCGATTCGCTGGCGCCGTCGTCGTCCTTTCCCAGCGCCGCCTTCACGTCCGCCACCACTTCCTTGTACCGCTTGTCGGTCCACGCCGGGCTGTCCGGCAGCAGCCCTGGCGTGGCCGCCACCAGGTACGCGCAGTAGTACGACAAATGGCAGGCGGCTGTCATGTCGGCCGCCGCCGACGCCGGGTAGGCCGCGTGCGAGTACTTGATCTCGAAGAGCCTCGTGCCGATGTGGCAAGCGAGGATATGCTCCGTGGTGCTGCTGGTGCCGCTTCCGGCGCCGATCGCCGGCCACGCCCAGCTGTCGACCTTGCCTCCGAGGCCCACCAGGTGCGCTGCCGGCGTGCTTCCTTTGTCCAGTCCCCCATAGCTGCTCTTGAAGGACCTGAGCACCGCGTCCTTCACGGCCGGCGAGACTTCCACCGATCTCATCAGCCCTGCGCGCCCGTACAGCTTCTCCGAGAAAAGCCCCGACCGCTTGCCGAAACGGCGAGGCTCCAGTACAGAGTTCTGTCCGATCTTGTCACTCCAGCGCTTCGCCGGCCTGAGACGCAACACTCTTTCTAGCGCCGCGTCAGTGCAGCGCCCCGGTGTACCGCTTCTGAATCTGATGTAGTGGCCGAGCAAGGCCATCTTGGTCCAGTTGGAGCACACGCCGGCGATGATCTCACAGGCTTCGGTGAGCACGGTGGCCAGCAGGAGGAACAAAGTGATGAAGTAATAAGCTTTTTGGTAAGATGCTGGATCTGGAGCCGGGTCCTCTCCGGAGTCGGGTCTGAAGGCGATTACCCTTTTGCCATGATAAACCACTCCCACGCCGATAGCTCCGGCGATGATGAGAACCGAAAGGATGTAGTTCAGGACGGCGCACCACCCACTGAACGAGCACAATGGGAGTGGAGAGTAGTAGAAATCACTTGCAAACCAGAGCTCGTCCACGAGGACTCGGAACACCCGGTCCGTGTCGGTGCCTCCTTTGCCGTCCCCGGCGGCAGCGTCCATGCCCCTGAGCACGAAGTCGACGGCGTTGCTAGACCCTGCCTCTGCCAAGGGGTACCCCGAGAACCGACGACGGAGACTCTTGAATAGGGAGAATGAAAGGCAGAGGTCCCTGAGCTCCCGCCGCTTGGCGAGGAGGCCGTCGCCATGGTCGGACAGCCACCAAACACGGTTGAGGGTCACGAGTGTGCTGAGCTTATTCTTGAGAGCGTCGCTCTTGATGCGGTACCCCTGGGGCTTTTCCTCGACGTGCTCCTTGCTCTCCCCTACCACCACGTAAGGAGGCACATGCCCATTGCCCTCCTCCGCGCCGTCCTCCACGAGCTGGGCCATGTAGCCGGAGACAAGCCGGGCGTTCTTGCCGACGGCGTAAGAGTTGCCCGCCATGAAGAAGGCGACCAGCTTAAGCACCACCTTGGCAAAGCCGAGCAGGAAGAAGACGATGAAAACTGCTTTTCCCAGTATGCCCAACCATGTCGCCTCGGGGATGCACATCACGATGAGGCAAGCCACCCAGGCGTACATGAAGAGGAGCTCCACGGGGGTCCGGACCTTCTGGCCGTCGACGCCGACGTCGCCGGAGGAAGGCGAGGCGGAGGCGGCGGCCGCCGAGGCCGCGGCGGCGTCAGCGTTGCCCTTGATGACGACGATGAGCACGCTCCACAGGAGGAGCGTCCACATGGTCTGGACCTCCCGGCTGTTCTTGCCTTCCTCGACTTCCTGGCAGCCTGGGCGCCCCTTGCAGCCTTGCAGCGCCTTCCTCTCCCCCAGCAAGGCGCTGATGGCCGAGGAGGTAAGCGGGATGAAGGCGACGGAGGCGCCCCAGACGACGAAGCGGAGCGCCGGGTGGCGGCAGCGGCGGCTGTAGGTGCTGAGCGCCACCACCAGAATGGCGAGCACCGCCGAGGCGACCGACAGGCCTGGCACGCGGGCCGCCTCGACGGCAGTCTGAATCGTGCTGCTCGTATCCATGTTGCCAGTACAAGATGTTTGAACTGGAATCAGTGGTGGTGTGTGTTGATGCTTGGGAGCGTGCCCATTTATAGGGGAGAGCGGCCGGCGTTCGGAACCACTGAAATGAGCTGGTGCACGCCATGACCGGCGTTTGGAACCAAGTCGGCAGTCGGCATGCACGACAGGCCCCCGTGCCGTACGTGCAGTGTGTTTTTCGAGCGGGAAAGGGGAAATAATTTGCGGGTATAAGTTGACTTGACCTCGATGGTACTACCACAGCTGCTGTCTTTGGATGCTTGATTTCTTCTTTATTTGGTCGAGAAGCTGTCAATGAAATAAGCGAACCCGGTAACGGTCATGCATGCACGCGTGGGAGCCTCGGAAAGTCAAAATGTAAGGCAAGTCGGCATGAGGTTGATGGAACTGAAAATGAATTATTCTTCTGTCCCCTGTACACGTCATACTGTCATATCCATAGGACCATCGCTAAGTTTTGTTTGTGTATATTCTACTTCCTCTATAAACAAATATAAAAACATTTAGATCACTGCTTTAGTACTCTATAAACGCTTTTATATTAGTTTATGGAGAGAGTAATATTCATGTCGTACTCCCTCCTTCCTAAAATGTAAAGCATGCTTGACTTTAAACGGTATTTGGTGCACAACGTTAACCGTTAATACATATAAAAAATGCATGGATTGAATATGTATAACCGGCAACATCATATATGTCTTCCAAAACAGTTTTATTTCATGTATTAATTTAGTGGACATGCAATAACTGAAAATCATAGTTAAAGTTGTATGGTGAAGACCAGAAAAGTCAAAACTACCTTGTAGCAACCAGCTCGTCGTGCAAAATAATTAGTTAAATCCACACAGTTGACCTCAAATAAGTCGTCCCCACAGGAGACCGTAGGGCAAAACCCTAGTGTACCCTATGGTGTCGCAGCCCGTTGGTGCCTTGATGGGGTGTGTGAGCTATAGTTGTGGGTGGGGCCGTGGGTGATGGGGTTAGAAGCGAGCAATGCTATATCTACGAAGTTCCCCGAAACCTAGACACCCCTCTGGCGGCAGCTAGGGTTTTTGATGTGGAATCGCAGCGACCGCTAGTGTCTCACCGGCGGGTCGCGTCTGAGATCCCGGCGCGGGGATGGCTTCACCTTCCCATGGCGCGGGTGCGGAGAAGATGCCGGAGTCACCCAGGGCGGCGAGAGCCCGTCTGGAGGAGGCTCTGGGCAAGCTGGGAATCACCGATGAAGAGGCAACACCGTTGGTGATCGATGATCGAGAAGATGACAGACCGAAGAGATGGCTCATCGCCGACAAGGTTCTCTATCGGAACCTGCTTCATACCAACACCATTGTCGACGCTCTTCGGCCGGCCTGGGGTAATCCCCGAGGTCTACAGTTCAGATCGATGGGGGAGAATATGTTTGTGGCAGAGTTTGAGAATCAACGGGACCGCGATCGCATCTGGCAGGGATCGCCATGGCATGTGAGTAAGAACGCTGTAATCCTGGTTGACTTGAAGATTGCATGCGGCCCGACGAAGTAAAGTTTGAACGGCTCCTTCTATGGGCTAGGGTTCCAAATCTCCCATACAATCTGCAAGATGATACATGGGGGAAACTGATCGCGCAGCAGATCGATAAGGATGCTACCTCAATTCAGTTCGACCACGATGGTGGTTTTCTGCGAGCGCGGGTATCCATTGATGTCAGCAAACCTCTCAGGAGGTGGATCTTGATAGATTCTGCTAAAATAAAGAGGGTTGATCTGTATGATATACAATACGAGCAAGTCCCTCACTTTTGCTTTTCTTTTGGTCGTTTGGGCCACTCTGAGATCATGTGTCCAACACCGGGTCCTCGAGATGACAAAGGAAATCTTCCCTTTGGACCTAAGTTGAGAGCACCGGAAGATTGACGGAAGGCTACCTCGGTGGACAGTTCAGGTCATGAGCATCATACGGAGCCGAGCAGCCAGCGAGAGTCTAAGAATTCTTCCAACACCAGTAAGGGCGATGAGGTGACCTCCCCAGCAAAGGAACGTGCAAACTTCAAGCGGAAGGGAGCCCCAAAACAGGTCTACCGGCGGGTGGATCACACTCCTCTCCTATTAACGAATGTTGTAGCTTCTGGGAACATTGACCCTACTCGGGAGGAGGATGTAAATGTAGCAGCACCTGGGGATGGACAAGAATTAGAGAGGGAAGCAAAGAAGAAGAAACCCGCACCTGAGAATTCAGCAGAGACTGCAGGGCAGTCCTGCCCATCCCAATGAGCTGCATAAGTTGGAACTATCGGGGGCTTGGGAACCCCGAGATAGTTCGAGAGCTTCGCAATATTGTGAAGCAAGAGTTACCCCTCCTACTCTTTGTCATGGAAACGAAAATATCAGCGAAAAGAGTAGAGAGCCTGCAACACACGTTGGGTTTCATAGGATGCTTTGCTGTTAACAGCACGGGTTTGAGCGGCAACATTGTATTGTTTTGGTCCAAGGATGTGGACGTCGATCTGAAAAACTTCAGTTCCGCTCACATTGATGTGATGGTGCGGAGGACAGATCAAGCTTCGCCAGAATGGCGGTTTACGGGGTTCTATGGGACCCCAAGAGTGGAGAATCGCCATCAGAGTTGGCGATTTCTTCGAACGTTGAATGACATACAACACTCTGCTTGGTTATGCATGGGAGACTTTAACGAGACTCTCTACGCCACCGGACACTTTAGTACCTCGGCCAGGCCGGAGTGGCAGATGAGAGCTTTTTTAGAGGTCGCCGACGAGTGCTCCTTCCAAGATCTTGGCTGGTCTGGGGTGCCCTACACTTGGGACAATCGACAGGGAGGAAATTTGAATGTTAAAGCCCGTCTGGATCGAGCATTTGCTAATGAAGATTTCAGGCAGGTTTTTGATCACATTAGAGTAAGGCATGTTTGTGAAGCTGAGTCGGATCATTGCTTTCTTGTTGCAAATATGAATCAACTGCCAAACAGGCCTCGCTGAAAGAGTCAATTTCGATATGAGAATGTTTGGCAGACTCACATCGATTATGAACGCCTTGTTACTGAAACTTGGCGCCAGAGCCAACGGGGACTAGGACTGCAGGGTGTGGCTGATTCCCTTGGTGAACTACAGAGAAGAGTCGAACCATGGGGAGCTAAGGAGTTCGGCTGTCTAGCCAGGATAGTCCGTCAGCTACAACAACGTCTTGACAGGTTGCGACGGCAATCTATTCGTTGGGGTCCTTTTGAAGAGGAGAAGAAAACAGTTATAAAGCTCAGAGAAGCGCTCAGGAAGGAGGAAATTTGGATGCGGCAACGATCTCGAGTACCTTGGCTACGAGAGGGCGACCGCAACACGGGATTTTTTCATGCACAAGTGAAAAAACGACAATGACTGAACCACATTGCTGGCCTACAGCGAGCAGATGGCTCGGTGTGTGCAAACGAGGAGGAGGACAAAGATGAGGTTCAGAATTTTTATCATCAGCTATATGAGTCCCAAGGGGCATCCGATTGTAGCGTGTTGTTATCACATGTTCTAGCAGAGTAACACCGGCTATGGGAGAGTTGATGGACAGACCCTATGAAGCTTCCGAGGTGCGTACAACATTATTCCAGATGTCTCCGTCAAAGGCGCCGGGTATCGATGGCTTCACAGCGGGTTTTTTCCAGCGGCATTGGGATTTTCTTATAGAAGATGTAACACAAGCAGTCCTCGGGTTTCTTAACGGGGGAGATTTACCAACAGGTATAAATGATACCTCGATCACATTAATACCTAAGGTACGTCACCCCTAGTCCATCTCCCAATATCGACCCATCGCTCTTTGCCCTCTACTCTACAAGATAGCAGCTAAGGTTATTACTAATTGTTTGAGGAGCTTGATGGATGAGTTGATCAGTGATGAACAGAGCGCTTTTGTTCCCGGATGCCTGATCACGGATAATATACTTGTTGCTTATGAAAGCGTTCACACAATGAAGAGAAGGAAAAGGGGGAAAATCATATGTGCATAGTGAAACTGGACATGATGAAAGCTTAGGATCGAGTGGAGTGGCACTTTCTGGAGTCCATTCTGTTGAAACTTGGCTTTAGCATCAATTTTGTTCAACTGATAATGAAGTGTGTTACTTCGGTGCGCTTCACAGTTCGCGTTAATGGTGAACTTCTACCATATTTCACACCCTCAAGGGGCTTGCGGCAAGGATGCCCTGCATCACCGTTCATGTTCCTTTTGTGCGCAGAAGGACTGTCATTATTGCTTAACTCGTATGGTGGATATATTGACACTAGTAGATAAAGGGCCTATTGTCCCGATTCATAAGGGCCATTTGTCCTGGTTGATGAACCGGGACTAAAGTGTCATTACTAATGCCCTAGACCTTTAGTCTCGGTTCTTACACGAACCGGGACCGATGGGCCTCCACGTGGCCGCTGCGGACAGCCCAGGTAGGGGGCCTTTGGTCCCGGTTGGTGGCACCAACCGGGACCAAAAGGCATCCACGCGTCAGCAGCTGGCTGGAGCTGAGCTTTTTTTTTTGAAAGGGGCTGGTTTAGGGGTTTTGGGGGTTAGTTTAGGTTGTTATTAGCTAGCTAATAGAGAGAAGTGTCCTCTCTTATATCCTCGTGCTTTGTTTACCAACGCTACTGCCATGTTCATTTCACCAACTGATATATAATAACTCTTCATGCTCGCATCATGCATCATCATATATAATTACAAGTCCTATTAATCATGCATCATCATACAACTTCTACTCGTTATTAATAACAAGTCATATGATGATCATCCTCATAGTCATCGAACCAACCCTACTTAACTATTCTTAGCACATGATCATCAGTATCAGGTAGGACCTAAATACCCTTAAGGTAAATGTCACGACCGGTTTTCCAATAAAATATTTATTGAGAAACCAATCTTTTGAGTCCAGTATGAGAGAAATCCTCCTCACTGGTAGACAATTTCTTGATACAATAAGCCAGTAGCATAAAATATATTACAGGG